TCTGTATAGTTCCAATTTTTAGCATATGTGCTGCTGAAGTGAGCACTCTTCTATCTTCTTCTGATGCCTTCTGGATCATACAAGATTTTGCCCATCACCTTTCTCAGTACTGCAATTCCAGATTTGAATTTACTTTTCAGTTCCTTCAACTTTAGAGACGTTCAACGAGTTCTTCCCTTTTTTATTCTCCAAATCTAGTTTGTATTATTTCATTACAATACTTTGCTTTGTCTTCTCAAGCTGTCCTTTGAAATCTTCTGTCCAATCTCTTTTATTCTGGCATTTCTCCCCTTTGTTTTGTGGAGGGTGGAAATGAGGTCAGGCATAGGTTCCCTATTTGACACTATCAAGAGGGGAGGCCTGGAGTTGGCGGGGGTGGGGGGGGATAGGGGATAAGGCAAAATGTAGTAGCTCAGCGGTCAAACTGACTTTACATCTCTTCTAGGGTTGAGTCAGAGTGAGGTTGCTTGATCACGGCTTGGCAGGAAACTAGCACTACCTGCTGAGTTTTCATGTATATGAGTCAGGATCTGTCATTTATTATACCACTATGATTAACTTGGATTTACTGTTATTTCCAACACAGACAATCCTCCTATGTTTGGTTTTTTTTGGGGGGTGGGGGTGGGGGCGTGGTTTTTTTTGTTCCCCCCATCCTCCTGTTTTGGAATGCCAAGTATTCAGATCCTTGAGTCATTACTGATTCAAAGAGTATGTTGTTCCTAATATAAGACCAAGACTTTCGTCTAACTTCTCCCCAAGATTCTGAAACTGATGAGAGAAGTCAGACTTCTCACCAAGAATTCTGAAACAGGTGAGAGATGAAGTCATGACAGAAGGAAAGACGGGAGTGACAGAAAGCAATCAGTACACTGAGGTGCCAGAATTGTAACATCATGGGATCACCAAGAACAAAAAGACATGCACAGTTAGCAAGAAAAGAAGATGTCTCATTCAGCTGAATTTACATACTTGATTGATGTTTCTCAGTCACAAATCCATCACCCTCATCCTCACCCCCAGTAACTACTCAGAAGTTAGAGACGTGGAGATACCGTAACCACTGCACTGTGTCTATTCCGATTCACGATAACCTTCCATCTGTTTCCAACACTTTAAATCTTTAGGAGAGAAGACCGCTCAATGTTCTTCCTCTGAGCCCTTGGTGGATATAAACCTCTGACCTGCTGGTTAGCAGCCTCTCACCTAAAATGCCATCAAGTCTCCTTAGAGATTACCATATAATCCAGCAATCCTACTACAAGGTATATATCCTACAGAAGTAAGAGCTGTGGCATGAGTATATGAATATTCAGCTCACCATAACATTATTCACAAGAGCAGAAAGATGGAAACAACTTTAGTTCCATCAACAGATAAAGAGATAGAGACACACATAATGGAACACTGTACACTCTAAACTGCAGTGTGCACGTGCACGTGCACACACCCCCCCCACACCCACCCATCCCTGCATCACTGCACTATTTAAAGAATGAGGAGGGATCTGAGAAACATCTCACAACATAGATGGACTTGAAGGGTATTTCGCTGACTGAAATTAGCCAAGCACAAACCACTATTATAAAAAGTCAAGAAAAGGGTTAGGCAGAGAAACATTCTTTGATAGTTACCAGGGAAGGGGGGTGGGGGAAACTCAGTCACTAATCGTATACAAATCCCCAAATTCTGTGCCATCAAGTCAATTCCAGCCCACAGTGACCCTTCAGCAGGCTTTTGAGGCTGGAAACTTATGGGGAGGAGAAAGGTTATCTTTCTCCTGCGGGGCACCTAGTGGATCCGGACTGCTAACGTTTCCAGTATCCGGTAATACACTACTCCACTAGGGCTCCTGGACAGCAAACACGGGTTAACTTGGTGAAAGGAAAGACATACACAGCAGACTACTGGGAGACATGCAAGAAGAGAGTAACTCTAAATACTATTACATACAATCCTGTAATAACAAACAGTAATTTATGAATGGATACATAGGTAGTTATGTAAACTAAACAGGTATGGGCTGGCATACCTGAGTAAGCCATGAGCATATTCTATCTTCATCTTTGAAAAGTGTGTGTGTGTAATATATAATTTCCACATCTATAAAAATGCATATGTAATCATGACTTTAATGAGTAAGCAGTACGTTCAAAGCCTTCTCCACCGATAATCTGATTTAGCAATTAGCCAAAATCTCAGAGTTTACCATTTGCAAGAGTTCACAGCTAATGCCCCAAGACATACACAGGCAAAGGCAAAATATCTTCACCCCCTCCCTCCATTGCTACCACTAAAGCACCATATACTGACCCACTTAAGTAGCTGAAAAGAGCTCTGGGGGCCTCGCTCACGCAAGTCACACTGTTAACCAAACACCATGCCTCTCACGTGACTCCAATCCACCAGCAGCTCCAGGGAGAAAGATGAGCAACGTTCATGCAATTTAGTCTTGGAAACCCACTGGAGGGTCAGCTCTGAATTAAATTTGACGGGATGGCACTGAATTTGAAGGTTATTTACACATAAAGGAGCTCTAGGAGTGCACGCCACTAACTAAAAAGCCGTGTTATCTCTGGTTGTTCAAATCCACTGACAGCTCTGAGGGAGAAAGATGGGCAATCTCCTCCTGTTAAGATTTACAGCCTCAGGAACCTGACAGAAGGCTGCTATAAATTGGAATCGACTCTCTAATAGTAAGGTTTTGGTTCTGAAAGTATACACATAAGGAGACCGGATGGCACCTTGGTCACTAGAGTGTTTAGCTGCTAACCAAAAGGTTGGTGGTTCGAACACATCTGCTGCTCCACAGGCAAAAGATGTGACAATCTGCTTCTGAAAACATTTACAGCCCTTAAAACCCGAGACAGTGCTGCTACCCTGCCCTACAAGCCTTCGACAGCAACAGGCTTGGGATATTTGGAGGGAAGTAACCATATATACTTTTTAAAAAACTAAAACCTTCATTTCTAACAGCAATCATGCTGGGAAACATTTAAAAACAAAAAAAGACACAACTTTTAAAGATATCCATTGCCTGCTATGCACATGAAAGTTGGACAACGATTAAAGATGACAGAAGAATCATCTATGCCTTGCAGGTGTGACACTGAAGAAGAGTTCCGAATACCCCATGGACTGCTTAAGGAACAGGTCTATCCTAGAGAAAGTGAAACCAGGGTACTCCCTGAGGACAAAGATAGTGCTCACATACTTTGAGCATATGATGTTAAATTCTCAAGCCCGAAGTACATACAGTTCTGTACTGCCACCTGCAATATTTAGAACTATCATGTCTCTAAATATTGGTTTACATTTGGATTAAGAGTTTCTCACTCACAATATAGTTTTATCTCTCACATCCTGGTTTACATACTCTTTACTTCTAAAAGCAAAAAAGGTAAAAGGCTTGATCTCTGCACACGTAGGGAGTCCGCTATGATTTTGTCTAGTGTAACACTAGCTAGCAGCTCAAGTGGTGAAGGTTCTCTACTCACGTGGCCTAAATATTTAATAAAGGAGCTCTGGTGGCCTAGTCTGCAGGAAGGTGCACTGTTAACCTGAAAGCCACATCACTAAGGCAGTTCAAATCCACTGGTAGCTTGGTGGGAGAAAGATGGATCAACTTCCCACGCCATTTACAGATTCTAAAGCCCCACAAGAGGGTTCGGTCAGCTATGAGTCAGTCCCACAGCCACCATGAACTGACAAAGAATTAGCCTGATTCCTTTGGGAAAAATTCTCGAGTCAGTGATATTACTTCATTCAGGTAATCCAGTTACAGCAGAATAAAGTTGCAACTGTGGGTTACATGTTCGTTGGGAAGGAAATAACGTTGCCACCTTGGATTCAGATGTTACTCAAATTCAGTCACTGACACACTTAAAAGTTAACGAACAAAGTCATTGCTGGTTATTTCTTATTAATTTCACTCAAGTCCATAAACGTCCAGCGAGTTCGCTGAGCACCGGACTGATCAAAAAACCAAAAAGGTGAACTGCTCCTGAAGACTACAACCTTTCCTGGGGCTTATCTCACTGCACGAAGCAAGCTTACTATTAAACGCTCACTGATGGGAACCTGCAGGAACTTTTCTTGCTACAACAAGAAAAGTCTGGGTCTTACTTAACCCTACCGTTTTTGCCCCCCTCCAAACCTCTGCATACTCCTAGGTCCAAATTAAAGGGTCAATGAATGGCCAATGACTTCATGCTACATGTAGCCACTACTACATCAGATAAATCTGCATCAATGAAAAATAGACAGCAAGAAGTCTGAACTGGACCACCAATCCAAGTGAATTCACAAAGGCATCCAGCATAAGGGAAGGATAAGTCTTTGCCCTTGGATGATGAAGTAGAAGAGAGGAGAGACTCAGGGATACACGCTCAGGAGGAAGACACGGTGGAGATGAAATAGAAATTGCGGAATAGTTAAGGCGATCGGTTTCCCCCATCCACACCTGCACGGTGGGCAGCGCGGATCCTGCAGACAAGGAGGCGGAGGTCCCCACGTGGGGTCCTCCG